ATTCATGTCATTACACACCATAGTATTCCAATGCAGAAATGCATGCTTACTGTTAAGCAAGGTTAGTAGTTTCGTGTATGGGTCACACTGGTGTACCAATACTCAGTATAGAGGTTGTATCAATGCTCGGTACACTGATACATACCAAGTTTAAAAAAATAAAAAATGGAAAAAATGCCCAGTACAGAATTGTATCCATCCTTTACTATACAGCATCGAGCATATACTGGGCGGGACAAACATACGGCCAATGTCTTGAAAAGCCTCTAGGGCGCTAAAAGGGCATGGCAGGGAGAGGTAGGGATGGAAGTATGTTGTGATTAGTTAGTTTGGCTGAGGCAACTATTCCAAAAGGATCAAACCAATATTGAACCCAAAGTCCATTCCCTCAGGCACATGCCAAAGTCGCCCAACTCCTAGGCTCACACCCGAGTGGCACCTCCTAAAACGCCTCGACTGGACCTGTTGCAAGATGCTCAACGCTCGCCTTATTTTGTCCGAGCGCCTGAGCATCTTTTTGAAAACACTGCATATAGCACAGTACAGCTGGGTTTACCTTGGTCTATACGCTAGCAGCTTGTCTGGCTAGTAATTAACTCTTGTACTGAACCATACTGGATGGTATTATGAACCTTGCCATTAAGTATTTAAAAATAGAAGAGAAAAAGTGAGATGACGAAGGGGATGCTTGGCAATCCAGGCTGGGAAACCAATATTTGGTTGGGGCTACTTTCAAGGAAGGTAAATTGACGGGATAAGTTGCTTCAAAATGAGCTAGTGATCCTTATCCCTAGGTTATAAAGAACACAGATCAGATTAGCTGGAATTGAACATGGATGAGTAATGTATCAACCAAAAAATTATGCATCAGTTCGAAGAATTTCAGAAGCCAAAGCACTAACAATGCGATACATACTAAGCACAATGACAGAACACCAGTGCATATCATCCATGAATGGAGCAAAACGAAGTCAAAATATGGTCTCATTCGAGCATCAGACATGCAACTATACATACCTTCATAACTTCTTTTCACTTTCTTAGGCACATTCGACAAGATTATAACTTTTGACAAGGTCAAACTGATTGGTTTTAAGGCGATGCATAGCCATACAAAGGAGCGAAAAATGACATCTGACAATTATTTTATTTGTTCATTAAAACCCAAAGCATGTTTGTTTATGTTTCAATAATGGTGAGTCCAACATGAAAAGCATACAGCAAACTGGATCCAGTTTTAAGCCTTGATTCTTATCCTCAATCTTCAAGTCACTTAAAAACCAAATAAACTAATTATTTTACTTGAGTGCAAAGACAATATCCACATATTGTACTATAAGCAAGAACAATAAACAAAAAATATAAGTTCAAAGCAGACAATACCAAAACTTTGTATGATAGTAGATTAACCCCAGTTTGTAAATCCTAACTAGTTTATAACATGGCAGCATCAACAAAATTGGGTACAACCGTACAAGAAAGATGACACACCAGTGAGGATCACTTTCAGAAGGAATCCCTAAAGCAAGTGATGCAATTATACCAAGACAAGTCCCAATTTGACAAAGAGATCCTAGTGAACCCCTATATTTTGTTGGAGATACCTGCATCACAGCACATCATGAATCTACACTGATATTACAGAAGATAGAAAGGCTTCATAGCATGATCATCATACATTTCAGACATTTAACACACTTAGGGTTTTTATTTTTTGCATCTGATGACTCTTTTGGTTGAAGCCTTGAACGAAGTACAATGGCTATGACTAGTATGTGTTTGTCATGTTTCAAACAACTAAGAGCAATGCTCGTAATTACGACAACTCAAAGCAACATGATAAATTGTATTGTTTCTCGTTTCAGGTCTTCATTAGTAAAATTTCAAGCTTAAGATTTCAATCCAACTTAATTTGCTGTATTGTCACCTCTGATATATAAAGCGGTACAAGGACAGTATTTGTACCAATCCCAAGGCCAACAAGAAATCTTCCCCAGAGCATTTCATTCAAATTATGTGCTTGTGCACTGCAACAAACAAATACCATCATCATGACTCATGTAATTATTGGTATATGAAAAGATACTAATGCAGATATAACTGTTAGATGCAATTAAATAGTAAGAAGAACTCAGGAATAAAAAACAAAAGGAGCGTTGCATTGTGAACAATTGAAATTACTTGGTTTTCTTTATGTACAAGCACAGAGTTGAAAAGAACCTTAAAAGTGCCCCAAGAATCAACGGTATTGTATCAAGTTGAAAAGTGCGCCGAGAACCAAATTTGTCGACAAAGGAAGAAACACCTAAGCTTCCAATAAATGCCCCAGCAATGAATATGCTCACCACAAGTCCTTCAAGAAAAGAGTTTCCTTCAAAACCAAGTTCATGTGCTATAGCTTCAATAGGACCATTCATCACCCTGCAAGGATACCTCCACTTCAAGTTTTGCAAATGACAAAAGAAACCAAGTCGTACATCATAATTAAGCAGAAGGCAGTGAATAAAAACACATAAGCTGTTACATGAAGTAGTGATAAAAAAGAAAATTACAAATGAAACAAACAAAGCTTACAAAAATGTCCCATGGAAACAATATAAGAATGTTGTGAATGAATTTCTCTAAGTCGATGTCTGTGGCAGTCATACTATCTGATATTCTAGTATGGGCAACATGGAACTTGCTAAAGTAGTTTATACCGCACTTGCATTCAAGTCTTACTCGTTTGTCGAAGTATGGATCACAACATATGCATCAAGAGACTAAAAACCATGGTCCTTTATCCAATCTGTCAATTGCAATCTCAAGTTTAATCAAAACAAGCATGGTATAGAACTGTTTTATATCTTAATAGATCCAACACCCCAAATTATTTATGATCACAAACTCTTTCCAAGTTGATAATTGATTCATAAAACAAATTCTATGATATTTACTAGGACATTATTTGACAAAGCATACACTATTACAGAGTAAATTCAATAATTTTGAGCAGATGAGTAAGCGACTTGCAAAATTTTGTATGCAGAGGTTTTTATCAGGCTTCTACTTCCCCTTGAATTAAGTAGAGCTTAATATGGATGAAAATCCAATTAGTTTTCCTCTGTAGCACTTAGCTTAGTATTCAATGCTATTGGAATTTATAGTGATTCAAGAAAACAAAACTTTCAACTCTTATATCAGTTTGTTGTCCTCATGTTCTACTTTCATTAGTACCATTTTTTTCCCCTTCAACCATTAATTAGTCGCATGTTGAATATTGAACATGTTGCTAGAGAACTAATGGTAACATGTTATCAATGTAGTGATATTTCACAGAAAAAATAGCAAAACAAAAAGAGAAGGTTCATTGTGAAAGTCGAACATAGTATAAGAACCTCCTAAACTAATTAAACAACATTAAGTGTGATATAGGTCCCAGATTTAATGTCCCTCACATAATGATGCCCCCCAATGCCTACTACAAAGGTCCCATCTTAACGAATCCTCCAATTGTTCTTTATCATTGACAACATAAGATTTTTCTAGTTCCTTTTACATAACCAGAACTACAAAGGGCACGCGACACTCTGCAGAAACATAAGAATACATGTTATCAAAACAAAAGTAACTCACCCAATGTGATAACCAAAGAGGAAATTAGCCATGGAAGCGGTGAGCACGTGAGGAAACGACGGTAACCAACCAAGGTCCAAGCCTTCGGTCTCTTTCTGCAAATCAAACCTAACATCCACATCTGCGCCCTCGAAGACCCCTCAAAACTTCAGAAACGGTCGGAAATCGAAGAAAAATCCCACAATAAGAGAGCTGACCTGAGATTTGCGGTTGCTGGTCCGAATCGGACACGGGAGAAGGCGGAGGCTTGCTTGAGGCAGCAACACGGGTGCCTTCTAGAGGGGCTCGACACCTGAGATCAAGTGAGCCCTTGGCTCTCCTACGGAGAAGGTGATGTAGGAGGAGGAACCTTGGTTTCGATGATCCGATGATTCCGGGGCACCGCGGATACAGCACCGCCAAGTATCGCATTGTCTCAGTAGAAATGGTATTCTGCGGAGTTGGAAGTCGAGACCGCTCAAGCGAGGCGACAAATCCTAATCGTATGGATAAAGATCAAATTAGGTGTTGGATATATCGAGTGAGTCTTCCGTGTGTATATCCACGAAATTTTTATTTATATATAAATCGTCTTCGTATTTATTGGCCCATTTTTATGTTTCTTTTTCTCATTTTAAGAGGCACAATCGACACATTAATTCTCAATCATAATATTATTAAGATATAAGAGAAGGCTTAGGTCGACTTGTCAATATGATTTATCAAGGCTAATTATATATTATCATATATATTTAATTATTTTTAGTATCTTAATTTTTATATTTTTAAAAATTATATTGAGATCCGAAGGTGAAACATTTAACTTATTGTTCCAAAAAAATTTTGATTTTTAATCATGTAAAATTATTTTTTTTTAAATTTTATATAAAAAATTTAATATTTTATTTTTGTAAGTATAGATATCTCAATATAATTTTTGAAAGAATAGAATCGGGATACTAAAAGGAATTAATTATAAGGGATAATCTATGATTAGCTTGATCCATCAAGATAAATAATTTCGTAGAAGGCAACATTAAGATTAAAACTATATTTGAAATACAATGTTAGAATAAAATGAACATGTTGCACTATATATTTGGGAAATTCAAATTTGAATATAGATGCTAGATGATAAATAAAAGTAAGTATGCATAATTCAATTTTTTTTCTTTGTTCTCCTAATTGATAGCAATGACGTTAAATGAGATGACGATTCAAAGCAAGATGTAACTTTCTATTTACTCGTAGGATTTGGATTTGGATTGTCCGGGAGATCATCTTAGTTCCTCTGTTCTTGAGAGTCCATATGTCCTTTAATAATGTATAGAATACGAACAGTTATCTCGAGCATAGGAAGTGTATGTGCCGAACAACACCGAAAGAGATGTACAAGAACGATGGGATGAGATGTATTCACCATGTATGGTTTTATTCTTTTTCTTTGTAGTATACTAATTAATTACATGTTTGGTAAAAAAAGGTTTCTTTTTTCTCTTTGCTTGCCCATCTTGGCATTTGTATTCCTTGATAGCCCGTGAGACGCCTCCCAAGAACGAGAGCCATGACGTTGTCTTCAGGCTCGTCGGTGCGCGCTCTGAATGAATCAAAAAGAAGAAAGAATGAAGAAATGCTGTACCCATCTTGTCCAACCCTGCGATGGTTTGGTTTCCTAGGAGGAGGAAGCCGCCGGAGTTGACATTTCCTGTATCTGTATCTGTTGATCCGACAAGCGATGCAGCTTGGCGAACACGCCCACCAGCGGCGCGGTGTTGTACGTGCATGCCTCCGTCTGCATGTAATTCCCCCGCTGATCTCTGAACTTGTCCCGGGAGTCAGGGCCGCCGACGAGAGCCCCGGTGATCACGTTGGGGTTGGGGCTTCGCCGGCCGTACCAGTCGTAGTAGCCCTGCATGCACCCGATGAAGCCTTTGCTCCTCTTGTAGGACACGATCGAGGAGCCCCGGTGGTGGACCTTCATGGGGTACTTGCGGCCGTATCCCACCAGGTAGCTAGTGCGCATGGGGTTGGCGCCGAGGATGTAGTCCGCCTGGGATTTGGCGAGGGCGACCAGCTCCTGCGTCCCGACCGCGCCGTCGGGGCACCGCAGCTCTCGTTGTTCCGCCTTGATCAGATGGTCGGAGTAGACGCTGAGGAGGAAGGCGGCGCTGGAGACGTACTGCATGTTGTTCCACTGTCGGACGAATAGCATGCCGCCGGGTGTCCGGTGCACGTTGCTGCCGTTGTTCTCGTTCAGACAAGCGCAGACGTAGAACTGCGCCTTGGCTCGGTATTGTTGCGCTGCTCGTCTTTGCGACTCCGGTAGATCGCCTCCCTTGAAAAGCTGAGCGAGACCAAGTCAACACTTTTAGTTTTCCGGCACGGACTTACAGAAAGCTGCTAAGTAATTTGTCGGTCATCAAGATCAATTAATGTGCTACAGCTCGTTCACCAACCATGTCTTCTAATCATCCGTATCAATCAATTACAGACTGCGAGAACAGTCAACTGACCTAATGCACAAGACACTTCTCTAAATGACATCTCAATCGTCTATAGCTTTTGAATAAACAATATATATAAATAATTCGATCATTTCACCTAATCGTTCGAATTAAAAAGATGATGTGGACAGAAAACACACCTCCGTCTCAGTCCTACTCGTGCCACATGTGGCAAATGGTGAGCTGTCACACCATTATTAAAGTCACGTTATTACTCTCGGCCTTCAATTTTATCTCTCCAACAAAACAAAACCGCTTAGGTGCAAATATTACGTGTCATTTGCTAGCGGTTCCGTGCTCCTTAAGCAAGAGAAAAAGGAACGGTGTGGATCCGAACCTTTATTTTAACGTCACGTCAGCTACGAAACTATGTAATTGATCGAGCATAATTGTTTCGTTACACTAATTATAAAGATCCTAGCCATATTGTTCAAAGAGGAAAGGTCAAAAGAACGTGTCGGACTCGGTCCTTTGGGCAAAGCCGGTCGTTAATCAAAGTTAGTATAAGCCTTTTGATTTGAAGTAAAAGGTCGGACGGGATATTAATGAGAGAACTGTGTGTGAACCAACCAACCTTGGTAGCCAGGATCTGAACGCCGGCGTGCTTGACGTCCCAGCTAAACTCGGCCATCTCCCACCCGGTTCCTCCGAATCTATGGCCGTTCTCCACCGCGTACTCCAGGTACGCCCCCTTCCCTGTTGCCCTGTGGAGCCAAAGCGCCGCCCACAGCAGCTCGTCCTCGTACCCGCTCCACGACGGGTAGTATCTCTTCGCCTCTCGGACGCTACTGTCGTACTTCCCTCGATACTTGTCCGCAAACTCAAACAGCTGTACATACAAATACATATTATATCAGAACATGGCCGATCGAGGGGAGTGACGGAGTATGCGATGGACCGGTGTCGTGTTATCGGTACCTGTCGCGCATGATGCAACAGGAGGTGTGAGTAATGTGGATTAGATTCCTGGAAGACGATGGACGCGGCAGCCATGGCCGCGGCGGTCTCTCCGGCGACGTCTGACCCCGGGTTCTCGGTGTCGATCTTGTATGCTTGCCGTGAAGTCGTCATGTCTTCCGGCCTTTGCCAGCAGTAATGATCGGTGTCGCCGTCCCCCACCTGAAATATCGACCATATCAGTCGATCAAGTGTCTGGAGGAAGAAAGATCAAGATGCGCATACCTCGACCCAGAGGACGTTGGGATGGGTGTGGGCTTTGATGAAATAATCAGTGCCCCACTTGATAGCCTCCAGAGCGTGATGGTACTCTCCGGCGGCCGCTATCTCGTCGCCGTACTCGATGACGCTCCACGACAGCATCGTTATCGTAAAGGCCATCGGTAGACCGAACTTAACGTGGTCTCCGGCGTCATAGTAACCTCCCACCAGATCTACCTACATGAAAAATCCATTAAAAGTGTGATTAAGAGGGGAATTAATTTATATTAAGCTCATGTAGCAGGGTATTCATTTTTCACTCACTCCTTGTTGAAGGCCATCGGTGAGGCCAGAGTGGCCGCGCCATGCGACGCGCTGGTTGTAGGGAAGATGGCCGGAGCGCTGGGCCTCGAAATAGAGGAGACTCTTTGACAGGGCGTCCTTGTAATCGAAAGCCTCGATAGCAGCGATGGGGAGGACAGCCCAAAGAAGAGCCACTAATTTGAAGGTGCACGTAAGATCTATGCCGCTTCCGCTCCGCCTCGAGCTTCTTTCAATTCTCCCCTCTGCTTTCATACTTCCAATTACCATCGCCTGCAGCAGCAGTCGGAGAACGCAGAGGCCTCGATAAGGGGAGCAAGCGAAGGGGGGCGCGCAGAAGAAGAAGAAGCCCCTCTTTTGCTTCTTCTCCTTATTCCCTGACTTCCTCTGTCTATCGTCTCGTTAGCTCTGCCCACTTCCCTCCCTCCCTCCAAGGAGATCTTTTACACGTATATATGCATTCACGGCTTAATAAGTCAAGGCAGGCCACTTACACGGAAAAGAAATGGGCAAACCACATCGACTCATTCAAGACGGTCAATGTTCAGTGATCAAACAACTACACTTAAATGGGACCTACTCTGGCCATGTCGTAGGGAAGAGGGAGGGCCACCATGACTCGTCCGGAGGCAGAGGGCAGTCGACACAATCAACAGCTGCAATCCACGACTGACTCCGTGGAGGAGGAGAGGGGGGCGGGCGGGAGGGGGGGGGAGGAGCAGGAGGAGTTGGTGAGCGAGATAGCGTCAGCAGGCGTAAGCCGATACAATAAAGAGCAGAAAAGAATAGATTCGCCTGCGGTGCGAACCAGCAGAAGTCAAGCAAGCAAGCCCACATATGTTGATATGATGAACAAAAATCGAACACGTAAGGCGAGGAAGCCACCGCGCTTGGCTTCGTCGTCCGCTTACGCGTAACGCGGGTTTCGGATTGGTCGCAGTCATGCCTTTTGTTTTCCTTGTCGGTGCACCGCCACGTGCCTCTCCTCCGCCCCAGCCTCGACCTTCCTCGCGTCTCTACTGCATCAGCTGCTTCACCAAAAACCATTTCAATCCGATTCGATCTCATCAAGGTAGGATTCTCAACGTTACATATTTTACTGGTACGCGAAAGTGATCGGAAAGGAGTTAGGTGATCCGGAGACACATGATGGCGAGACTAATTAAATGCAGCGTTGACACGATTCCATCAAACAGATTCGTCACTGTTGATCAACTTATTTTAGCACATTTTATAATCATTTTAGATAATTGTGCGTAAAATAGCACACAACGCAGTGGGTCATGATTTATTCACTTCATGTTATCATCTTTTACTCGATCAAACTTAGCTTAGTTGGGGTGTACCCATCACCACAAATTAAAAGGTCCCAAACGTTCGATGAATTCACCGTTCGCCTCAACAAATTAATATATATATTTATTTATTTATTTATGCAGATCTGAGGAGCGTAGTGGTTGAAGAAGACGACGACTTGAGGCGAGTTGGTGAAACAGAAGCATCAATTTTAACGCAGAGTTGGAAGATAATGGTGCTTCCTCCATAAGAAAATTTAAAAGCCAGGCAATGGGGAATTCGACCTCGCTTTCATCTCGCCATCGCAAGTGAAGAGACCCTCCAACAGCGATTGCATGTAATATTCTTGCGTTGAATAGTATATATACTCCATGGATGGCAGCGGTAGAACATTCATATACTCCATATGACGCCGGTTTCGAAAGCCAGCCACTGTATATATAATATGTATTGTTGAATTGGTCTGGAGGTGTGCGATTTGTGGCCTCGTCAAATAAGCAGCACCTCCTCCACTAAATCTCAACCATCCCACGCTGTCTTATCTGATCGATTTCATCCACATAGTATGCCCAGAAATGTCACGGTTTCTTCCGTGCGTAGTGCAGTATCCCCATCTCGTCACCTCCATTTACCAAGTCTCCAGACGTCGTCAGGTGCATCACAGGTGTTCGATCCTGAATTAGAAGCTGCATGCTTATTTTGCTTTTCTTTTCTTGCAAGGAACCGATGCTGTGGATGTCTGAAAATTAGATACACGTAGTCTCTTCTCTTTTTCTCTCTTTGTTGGAGGTCAAACAATGTGGAAAAATCATTGTTTGCATGCAGATTTGACATGGTATATTATCTACCCGGTCCAACCCTAACTAATGTGATGTAGACCAATGTCACTTGGACAATTTCGTCACGGCAATATATTATTTTAATGGGATGCTTGAGCTGGTGGGTTTGAGAAGAATTCCATTTGATTCGGTCATCGACAAAAGCATGAGGACCCATTCCGATTTCTCTTGCCGGACCCAATATTCTTGTCCACAACCTTTACGTGTGATGGAGAATTGAAGTACGTGTGTAATCATCCCACGTCCGTGTACACGTTCGTATGTAGATAATGTATGCATGCGCCAAGGTAGGGCTACGATGGGCTTATCGTTGTGTTAGTCATGTTCAATCCACGTCGCGTCAGTCGATTCCTAGCCAGGGTTTATCCATTGAGCTCCACTAGCTGAAGTCATCTTCTGCGTATCTGCTCCCAAGGAGAGTGGTTGAGTTCTTGGAACCTTGTCATCTGACGACTCTAGGCTTCCATGGAGGCCATTTCACGAGTCATGATGGAACATTTGTGATGTAAAATATGAACAGACATCGAAAGCACCATCACACCTTACCCATAGAATTTTCTAATGTAAAAGAAGAACAAGGTGTCAACCAATGTCTTCCAAGTCTTCGTTCGTATAATTCTCGAGTAATATGAATGAATGCTTTCACCACAGGTTGACCTTATTCTATAGACTCTCGGTCGGCTTAGACATGCGCATCGAGTATCATAAGCTTAAATCGAAGATGACTCCAATCTATTTTTTCAAAACTTAAGTTAGCTTTTTGGTTAAACGAGAGAGAGTCGAATGCTTGAGCCGAAAAAACCTCCTCCATGTTGGTCAGATAATGAGTTTTTATACCCACACATGGGGGTTGATTGTACCCGACCTATTAATGGCCGTCAACCTCTTAAGCGGCGAACCCATACCCTTTGTGCTGATACCGATCGTCCTACGCAGATCAGCGTCATGTGTGGGTATAAAAACCCACATCCTTATCTCATTGGGGCAGTGTCGTATATCGGTGGTTGAGTTCGAGACATTGTGTTGATGTGATCTACCATGTCGATTTCGAAGCTCTTGTTGGCACCGATGTGGTTGTAGATGGCTGCCTGGGGGTATGCTACCAAATTATGCCCTATCACTAAGTATTCATTATCGAATAGTAATAAGGATGGGTTCGATTAATGATCGAGGTTGTCAAATGAATCTAACTACAGGAAGCATAAATGATAAAAGTATATAGTGATTTGAGCAAAATTAAATTAAACAGTGCCTCCACTAGTTAGGGATCTAGCAAAAGATGTAATGAGATATGATGTTGAATAGGTTCAGAAGTGTACGATCATTTGTCGGCACATGTCAATAATTATTTTGGGAAGAAATTCAATTTACAAAAAAAATTTAAATTTTTTTTGATAATTTTTAAATTCAACCTCCCAATTTCTCATGTAACATTAAAATTTTAAGTTTATATTTTGAAATCTAATCTCTATTGGGACATCTAATTTAGTTAATACATTGTTATACAAGCCATGGATCTAAAATAACTAAATAATATTAACCTGTGGACACGTCATTTAATATAATAGTGTATAACTAAATAATGTTAAAAGCACAAAAAAAAATGAATTCTGAAATTTAGAGAAAAAGAAAGAGGGCATCTTGTAAATTTTGAGAGAAAAGCTTTGAGCTTCCACTTGCATATTCTTGAGAGAGAGAGAGAGAGAGAGAGAGAGATTCATTGGAATGTTCTTTGGACAATGTCATACAAATTAGATTCACTCATATGTCAAACACTTTAAGATACTTATGAGTTTGTTCTCTTTGCATCATCTTGTCATAGCATCTGAGACAACTTATCAAATTATCGATACTTTTCTATCATACCACATTATTTTTCAACATAACGCCAGAGATGAGTTGACTCTCTCCAGAAAAAATGGTTTTAGACGTATGAAACATACAGTAAGCACAAACCACATTATTTTTCAACATAACGCCAGAGATGAGTTGACTCTCTCTCCAGAAAAAAATGGTTTTAGAGGTATGAAACATACAGTAATCACAAGTGCTCCTGTGACATAGGACACCAGCTCGCCAACCTGCTAGAGATCAGTCCCTTCAAGAGCAGCAGGTAGGTGTTTAACAGTTCTCCAAGCTCATATAATATAATATATGATGCTGCATTTCCACGTTTAACTTGCAATCTTTGGAAGGAATTGCTTGGCTTTGGTAAGAGAATTTTTGGAGCTACAGTTTTGGCTCACGTAATACAGACGCTTGAGAGAAGGCTAGAATGAATTCTCGGGTGATCCACGTCTTCCGTTCTTCCCCCCTACACCCAAACGATCTCCTTCCTAAAAGCTTTTCACGTCATGCTTTATTGTGGTCTACATTAGTCTAAAGAAGATGACTGCGAGATGATAGACTTTTGTCTTGTTCTTTTAGCAGCCTTAGAGAAAGGAACGTGGTTTGTGAATCATTTAGAACGATTTAAGGATCGAATCGAGTTGAATCGATTAAAGTAAGATAAGTTCGAACTAAAACCGATTCTCGATCTACCTAATTAAATTAGTTTAAAATTGATTAATTCAGTCTAATTAATCAATATATATTTGTAAATAATTTAATATGTATATTTTAAATAAATCAAATTAAAATTTTAATCTAGTTGCATCGAAAATACTATTTAAACCAATTTGATTTTAAAAAATTTAAAATTTTAAGAATTTTTAGACCTATTTGATTAATTGATTTGAATTGATTACAGAGTTAATATTTTTAAATTAAAATTAAAATTATTTATGAATTTAATGTAATTATATTTTCTCACTTGGTGTGACCAATTCACTTATTTAGACGATGAACACGAGTGTACTGTATACTCATCCAATAGATCAGTTTTCTACCTGTCATGTTGGCGGATAAGGGTTGAATCCGACAAGCACAATACTCTTCCATTAGATTACAAATAGTTGACAGGAAGAAGTGATTCGGCCACAGGTTTTTTTCTCTTGTAGACACTCACCAATAAACTTCAGAAATATGTCAGTTAATGATGCAGAGATTAATATGTTCCCGCCGGGAGTGTTCTTATTGTTCATATCAATGTAGTTGTCGGCCATTAAATTTGTGTTCCTTATGCATCTGTCGTCTTCCGGGAAACTGATGAACTGGCTGGCTGACTGACTGACTGGTGCAGATGAAGCCACAGAACAAAACAAGAGATCGCTTCCATGGCGTTTCCAAGTTAGATAGCTGTGCATTTCAAGCTCATTATATGTATGCTGTCGAAGTACGTCCACCGAACATTCCACCGGCAGAACTCGACTAACCCAAGAGATGACATTTCAGTCGGAGCCGCCATGACAGGAACTTCTAGTTAACGTTCTACCTAACCTCCATTATTGGCCGCCTTAACTGTGGACCGGGAACAGAAGCCGAACCAGAAATTTCTCCAATGGCGAACCAGTGATCTTCTCAGAGTCAGCATGTTTCCGACGGCCGGGGTTGAGTTTTGAGTGTTCCAACGCTCAGGTCTTCCGAATTATTGAATACTTAGGCTCCCCAACTCTGGACTTTTG